TGTTTGTGTCATACGTCAAAACGAAGGGATTTTCTGTCTCAAACCAAGTACTTTGTGGAATGCATGTCTACAACATACCAGTGACTTGGGTATATCTTATGCACTAGCATAGGATATTCCCAAGTGTATGTTACATGTGTTGTGTATGTTACAATATTCCCTGACAGTCTGCGATGTACAACTGCTGGATAAGAAAATCGAATTATGTACAGTTTGAGTGACTTGTTGCAGAAAATCACTGCTGGAGGCGGAATTCAAGTGCCGGATTAAAGCGTAGAAAATGAACTGAAACAATCCGTTTTGCCAGAAAGTGTGCTGGTTTACAAGGGTGCTGGATAAACAAGTGCCGGATTAGAGAGGGACGACTGTATATGTCTAGTGGAGTCATGTCCACTACTCTTGTGAGTCATATTCCCCTTTCTCAACACATAGCACATGTACATATCACTCCATCCGTTCAAGAATTACTACGATAGATCGACACAAGAGCAGAGTGTGCGTACGTGTCAAATCGAACGAATATTCTGAAGGGGGAAATATTCCTTCCAACGGGTTCGAAACGAATATCAATCGAATATTCGAATATTCCTTGCAACCCTACTTGAAATACTCTGTCTATCCATGCTGTTTGAGGGCTTTCAGATTGAATACAGTCCGCCAACGACCATAGGACTTTGGGATGACAAAGTGCTGACTCAGATACTCCATCCCTGGCGCTTGCGGTGCTCTTTCTATGTCTCTTAGAGACAGCATCTTCTGGAACTGCTCGTCTAATCCTGTTTGCTCTGCTGGCGCCAGATAGTATGGCTGCCGCAACTGATCCTGGTCTGGCTGGCTGCTCATTGATAGGCCATATTGCTCCACTGGTGCAAGGACCTACGAGTCCTGTGTAACGAGAGAGCTTGAAAGCTTAGGACCCTCGTTAATCCTTTTTGACTAGATTATCAGGCATTAAAAAAGAAAGACAAATGGAAACGAGTTAAGAGCAACTCTAAATCACTGTAACTGGATACTATATACAGTCAGAAAGTGCAACAACTAGGCACAAAGCTGACAGAGTACTGAGACATTCGACGTCCTGACAGCTAGCTTCAACACACCTCCGTAGCGCTAACCGACAGCCTTCCCACTTGGAAGGTTCAAGGTTATGGAAAGACCAAAGAGGGGGAGGCAAGCGCAGCGAAAACGAGCACAAGCTACAATCCCAACGGAACAAAGAATGTCGAGTGTTACTGGACGATGACGAGACCAGTAGGACACTTGACAAAGCGGTCTTATTACAATTCGAAGCAGCAAAGCAGCACGCCACCCAACTTGGAGTCCATCACAATGTCATGCATGAGGAGTACTGTAGGAATTTGGCTTTCAGCTTGTACAATTCCTTTTCACAAAGCTTCCCTTTCTTTACTTATCTTTGATGACCCACCCAAGTTGCGTGGTGTACTGCTTTGCTGCTCCGAATTGTAGTTAGACCGCTTTGTCAAATATCCTACTGGTCTCGTCATCGTCCAGTAACAATCGACATTCTTTGTTCCGTTGGGATTGTAGCATGTGCTCGTATTCGTTGCGCTTGCCTTCCCCTCTTTGGTCTTTCTATAACCTTGAACCTTCCAAGTGGGAAGGCTGTCGGTGAGCGCTACGGAGATGTGTTGAAGCTAGGTGTCAGGACGTCGAATGTCTCAGTACTCTTGTCAGTTTTGTGCCTAGTTATTGCACTTTCTGACTGTATAACTATAGTATCTAGTTACAGTGATGGAGAGTTACTCTTAACTCGTATCCATATGTTCTTTTCCTTTCTACATTTATTTATGGCTGAACATCCGAGTTTCAAATTTAAAAAAGAAGCAATAATAAGATGCCCAGAAATGAAGGGTGGGAGGGCAGGGACATTGGCGAGACTCAAAACTGACTGACGAAGTCAGGAAAAGAAACGACGATAAAGAACAGACCAGATGCCATATTTCCAACCGAGAAAGCTGTGCGAAAAATCAGTTTTCGCCAATCTTGCTGCACTCCGTGGGCGAGAAATACAACTTCACAATCACATGATTCACATCAAAATACGTAACAGCCATTGTTGACAGATGTAGATCGACATTGAAAGGACTAAAGTAGGGAAGACTACAGATGTATTGTCACTTGTGCATAATCTATTTGAGCTTGTCAGGTGATAGCTCAGCTCTACGTGTCTCCACTGCCAGTTAGTCACACGGTTCCTTGGCATATCGCATTATTGCGTCCGCCAAGTCGACTTTAGTCCATACCTTCCGATGTTGCTGTCCTTGTGATGACGAAAGGATAACGCTTCCCAAGCCTCTCCCTCTCTCACTCACTAACACTGTCTCTCTGTTTCTCTGTCTCTATATATCTCTTTCTCCTCTTTCACTCACTCTTTTTTTTCTCTCTCCCTCTCTCAGTTACTCTCTCTCTCTCTCTCTCTCTCTCTCTCTCTCTCTCTCTCTCTCTCTCTCTCTCTCTCTCTCTCTTTCTCTCTCTATTTCTTTCTCTCTCTATCTGCCTCTCTCTCTCTCCTCTCTCTCTCTCTCTCTCTCTCTCTCTCTCTCTCTCTCTCTCTCTCTCTCTCTCTCTCTCTCTCTCTCTCTCTCTCTCTCTCTCTCTCTCTCTATCTATCTGTCTCTCTCTCTCCCGCTCTCGTTTTCTTTCACTCGCTCTCTTTCTCTCTTTCTCTCTCTATCTCTCTCTCTCTGCGTGGCTCCGTGACATGGACAACAGCCGAGGAAAATATTTCTGTATTCTATTTGTGTTATACTGAAATACACCGTCCAGCAGAGAACCAATTCGGCTACCGATCCCACCACTCTACATCCGACGCACTAGTGCTAGCTGTGGAAGGTATCTGTGAGGCCCGTATGAACAAACTCAACACAGGTGTAGCCTTTGTTGATATGTCAAAGGCATTCGATAAAGTGAAACATCAAACTCTTGTGCAAGATCTGTTCGAACTTGGCATCTGCGTCACGGCACTCTGTTGGCTGGTGGATTACCTCTCTGATAGAGAACAGTACGTTCAGGTTGGCCAGACTAGAAGTCTCCCGTACACCAGTTACTCAGGTGTCCCCCAGGGGTCGGTACTGGGCCCACTGCTATTTATTGTCTATGCCCGCGGCATAGCAGAAGAACTATCGCCGTTTAATGTGGGAGCAATTCAGTTTGCTGATGACATCTCTATACGATGTAGCAGGGAGTCTGCGGAAGCTGTTTCTGCACACCTTTCAGCTGCTGTTCAGCACCTGGCCACCTGGCTGAAGGGCCGTGGTTTAATTCTTAATGAAAGAAAGACACAGATATTGCCTATTCCCCCATCCCCATCTCAAGCACTTGAGCTGCATGTCATTTGTAATGGGCAGACGCTGCCTGTTGTGAAAACGGCCAAGTATCTTGGCCTACATTTCGACTCAGACATGAGCTGGAACACCATGACAAGCCATGTTGCACGCCGCGTTGCCACTAAGATTGGGCTACTAAATCGAAGTGCAGCATGTTTGCCTTTTTCTTGCCGTGTTCAGTTTTTCAGGTCCTTTATACTATCAGAATTTGACTATGCATCTGCTGCCTATGCCCCTTTCTTATCGTCTTATCAGGATAAGCGCCTAAATAGTTTGTTCAAACGTGCGGCTCGCTCGGTGTGCAGGGCAGCCCCTCGCACTCACACGGCTCCCTTACTTGAACGCATGAATGCCCATACCCTCAGCATATACACCCACATGCACATTCTTGTATTCATTTGGCGCTGCCTGAACAAATCTTCAAGTACTCTGTTTGCAAGCTTTTTCACCCGTAGTCCCTCTCTCCGAACACGAGGAGGGAGCAGCAAGTTACTCATCATTCCTGTCTCCCCCACTGCATCCTCAGCTAAGCGCATTAGCCATGCTGGAGCTATCCTGTGGAACCAGCTCCCAGACACAGCACGCCTCGAAAGAAAGCGCTCCACTTTCAAATCGCTAAGCCTGGCCTTTCTGTTAGGCAGTACCGCCAACTAGGATGAGCTCATCTGCTTCACTCCTCTCTCTCTCCCTCCCTCCCTCTCTCTCTCTCTCTCTCTCTCTCTCTCTCTCTCTCTCTCTCTCTCTCTCTCTCTCTCTCTCTCTCTCTCTCTCTCTCTCTCTCTCTCTCTCTCTCTCTCTCTCTCTCTCTCTCTCTCTCTCTCTCTCTCTCTGTCTCTCTCTCTCTGTCTCTCTGTCTCTCTCTCTCTCTCTCTCTCTCTCTCTCTCTCTCTCTCTCTCTCTCTCTCTCTCTCTCTCTCTCTCTCTCTCTCTCTCTCTCTCTCTCTCTCTCTCTCTCTCTCTCTCTCTCTATCTCTCTCTCACTCACTCCTTTCTTCCCGGTTGCCGTGCTGGTGACTTTTTTCCCCTGCTGCCGTGCTCATATTAGTTATCTAACTACAGCTGTATCTTCTTCTTGGTTCTGTTTGTCCGCTTATTATTATATATTTTTCTTTTCTCTTATTATCAGTGGGACCATTGTCATTAGGTTTAGGCCTGTTTTGGAACTCCACTTTAAATAAAGCCAAACAACAAAACAACAACAACAACAAATCGGGAAGCCAAAGCCAAAGGGGGAGACATGACAGTACAGCGGGAAGCTGGAGAAACGTGCTGGTGAATTGGGCCTATCTCTCTCCCCCTGCCATAGGTCTCGGGATCAGCGGCTGGACCAAGCAGCAAATACAAAACAATTAAGTAGAGCAGAAAAAGAAAATGAGCAAGTATCACGGTGTGATGTAAGGACATAGAAATTAATAAGATGGCCAAGTGCCTGGTGTTTCATATGTGGTACAGAGACTCGAGACTTGAAGAGAGAGAGAGAGAGAGAGAGAGAGAGAGAGAGAGAGAGAGAGAGAGAGAGAGAGAGAGAGAGAGACAGAGAGAGAGAGAGAGAGAGAGAGAGACAGAGAGACAAAGAGACAGAGAGACAGAGACAGAGACAGAGAGAGATAGGTAGAGAGCAAAATATGCAGAGGGAGAGAGAGAGAGAGAGAGAGAGAGAGAGTGAGAGAGAGAGAGAGAGAGAGATGGAGAGAGAGAGACAGAGTTGCAGACAGACGGAGAGAGAGACAGAGTTGCAGACAGACGGACAGACAGACAGACAGGCAGAGACTCATTGTTGACGGGTGTAGATCGACATTGAAAGGACTAAAGTAGGAAAGACTACAGATGTATTGTGCATAATCGAATTGAGTGGTCAGTTGATAGCTCAGCTCTAAGTGTCTCCACTGCCTTTGCCGGTTAGTCACACTGTTCCCTGGCATATCGCATCATAGCGTCCACCAAGTCGACTTTCGTCCATTCCTTCCGGTTTTGCTGTCCTTGTGATGACGAAAGGAGAAAGTATCCCAAACGAAGGTATGGATCGTGACGATCGGGGCAACTACACTCTGGCAAAGGAGTTAACGTTAAGGCGTCTTCGTGCTCTATCATAGCTGTGAAGTAGTCATCCACCTGAGACGTACGTAGCCTTCCCATTACCAGGAGGGCAAAAACGGAATGACTGACTTCGAGCTCTTCAACGTCCCGAAGCCATTCATTAGTAAGAAGCACTGGATCTGAAATGTTATAACCCGAGGGAAGAGCCCTATCTACATAGGGATTAAATGACCATGCACAAGTAAGGTGCTTACGGCGTTCTGAGGCATCGACATATAGTCCCAGGTGTGAACATATCCTTGCGTCGCTCTTGGCCAAACTGTGAAGACCTTTTGCAAGCTCTTGAAACCTACAAGAGTCATCCACATAGGGCAAGTAAAACTCCAGCCTTGGCATATCGTCTTGCAAGCTGTTGATTATGGCCTGTTGGTAGTGTTCAACCGACCCACAAACCTCGAGCAACAACGTTGTTATATCTTCGATTCGGTACCTTCTGCTGCGAATTGGTACTTCTGTGTAGAGAGGCGTGCATCTTTCCACGATCATATCCGTGGATAAGCTTGGAAAGCACTCCGAAACATGGCCAGCGTTCAGGGTAATCTCTGTTACAAGTGGATGAAGTAAATCAGCATCGGTCCGTCTCGGGACGGGACCGACCATAGCGGGTGGATTCAACGCCAGGCTCAATAATTTTACAATGGCATTACCCTTATAGTCCAAGAGTAGATCATTACCGCAGAAGTAGTCAGTACAATCAGGATCACACCTGCGGGCTACTTTGTCTGCGATAAACAGGAATTTTGCTGCTCGGATGTAATATGACTCGTCCAAATGTGGACTGAGCTGATAGCGTAGCTGCAGGCACGGAACAAACACAAACAAGACAATCAACACTCACACTAAAATACATTTTGTAGTTGAGTTGTAGAACGTCAGTACCGTCGGTCAGTGTCGGGCAATGTTATCGCATGAGCTGATTGTTTAGTAACTGGTGGACATTACAGCGTAACGTGTAGTTTCTTGGTTCTTTCTATTTACTATACATTTACCCTTGGCTCTCCATCCAAGTCCACACATGTAAATGTCGTCGATATTTTTCTCTTATAACCAAACTGATTTTCCGCCACCTCCTTTTCCTCGCGCAATTGAAATGCTGAAACTCCATCACCTATACCCTCTATTCACAAGGTCCTTCCGTATATCACGCGCTGTAGTGGCGCAGAAGTCAGCTTCAGCGACAACATTGTGAAGTGGGTTTCACGTACAGGCTTTCGCGCCTTCTCGTATGATGGTATACCGGCCAGAGCAAAGTAGTGCAAGAACTGAACAGTGAGAGAAATTGTCGGAGAATCCTGAATGTCGGCTTGTGTATACGGATAGTTGTTTCTCTATTTTGCTCACATGTACGCAGTGCTAAGTTGAATGGTTTGGAAGCTGTATATATTCACACTAAAATCAATAATTTCAACATCACTAACGAGAGAGCTTGGAAGCTCAGGGCCCTACGCTATGCTTTTTTGCCTTGATGACCTAGAGAGAGAGAAGCACCTTGGCGTTACACTTGATAGCAAATTGGACTGGTCCCACCATTTCCGGAATCTGGAAAAGCGGGCAAGCTCAGGCGTCGGTATTCTTTATGGCCATCTCCCCCACATTTCACCAGAATGCCGAAAGACCTTTTATCATACATACGTTTTGCCTATTTTCTTGTATTGCTGTGTGGTGTGGTGTGGCGCTGGTAATGGCCTCTTTGCAAAGCTGGAGATTGTGCATCGACGAATTCTCCGGGCAATACTTCGTTTGCCGGCCGCCCGAGACCAACATAGCCGTTCTCTATGAAAATTGCTGTACATTTCCTCTGAAACATTACATTGACAGATCCTCCTGCGTATACATTCACAAAATCAAACTTATCACTGCCCCTCAGCATGTGCAGCATTCCTTAAACTGGTTCAATGAATCCTCAACAAGCCGGAACTCGCTTCGTTTCCCGATTGCAAGAAACAATTCTATGAGCAAATCGCCTGTATTCCTAGCATACCAATTATGGGATTCTCTTCCTCAGCAATTAAAGTCCAGCAACACCCTCAATGCGTTTTTAAGCTTGATAAATATACACGTACGTCGATCTTCATTTACTAATCATTGATTTCAATTCTCTTTGTGTATTACTTCAAGCTCCAAAGTAAATCACATATGCTACCTGTACAATTCATTTGGGTTTGGGATTGATTTACTTTTATTTCATTTTTATTTTCATTTAACTTGCCATATTTTGCGTGTGCATTTTTGCCTTCTTGTTCTTATATTCCATGGCTGGTAGCCCTCATTCATAATATTGGTTGACACCATGTCATCCATGAATTGAGAATAATAATAATAATAATACGAAGTGGTGGTTGCGACTTCGGCGATGATTTGTAAGAAAGGGTCCGCTCCCCACACCGGAGCTCGCGCTATTCCGCCGACGTTACTTGACACTTGACTGACTCACGACCGCCATCCAGAGCACACGAAAAGTCCATCGAACCTTCGACTCGGCAAACCTGCAAGAAAGCACCACTCCCTGCTCAATACACAGTGTTTCGGGGAATTCACCCCTCATCAGTTGAGCTTGAGTAGGCTGAGGAAGATTGTGCCTCGTGAACACCAGATAGCAGCGTGAGTCAGTGTCGCTCCTGGACGGTGAGTCGCAAGCCCGCGCTGGGCACAACAGTACGAAGTAGTGGTTGCGACTTTGGCGATGATTTGTAAGAAAGGGTCCGCTCCCCACACCGAAAAGTCCATCGAACCTTCGACTCGGCAAACCTGCAAGAAAGCACCACTCGCTTCCAGCGCGACAAACACCTCGTGAACACCAGATAGCAGCGTGAGTTAGTGTCGCTCCTGGACGCCGCTCCTGGACGGGCGCGGGCTTGCGACTAGTTGGTTTGGAGGTGACAGCGTTGCGAATGACCGATGGTCCTCGACGTCTGTCTCACCGTCCAGGAGCGACACTGACTCACGCTGCTATCTGGAAACGGAGCGTCTCTGTAAGTTTGTATCCCTGGTGATGTGTGTGCCTGGAGAGCGCTATATAAGTGGTGCTCTTCAGGCACAATTTTCCTCAGCCTACTCAAGCTCAACTGATGAGGGGTGAATTCCCCGAAACACTGTGTATTGAGCAGGGAGTGGTGCTTTCTTGCAGGTTTGCCGAGTTGAAGGTTCGATGGACTTTTCGTGTGCTCTGGATGGCGGTCGTGAGTCAGTCAAGTGTCAAGTAACGTCGGCGGAATAGCGCGAGCTCCGGTGTGGGGAGCGGACCCTTTCTTAATAATAATAATAATAATAATAATAATATGAAACTCGGATGTTGAGCCATAAATAAATGTAGAAGAGAGAAGGACATATGGATACGATACGAGTGATGGAGAGTTACTCTTAACTCGTATCCATATGTCCTTCTCTCTTCTACAATAATAATAATAATAATAATTTGGAAAGGATTGGGAGAACTTCAAATTCAAAGGATCTATCGGGGAAGTGAACTGCCTGAAAAGAGAAAAAAACGCCAGACCCACCAGGACTCGAACCTGGGACCCTGCTTGTCATGAGCAATGCCCTAACCACTGAGCTATGGGACCAGGCTGAACCTAGAAGGCGCTGACAAGTTAATAGAGGGTAATACGACACCGTCTCCCGTACCGTACCGTACCATCAAACACAGTCCATCGAACCAGCAACTTGGAAGAATGGGTATGAATGCGAAGTGTATGGGGGAATGCATGTAGGGCGATAGTGCGGGTTCGAATCCCAGGATATGCCTTAAAAAAATTGGAGAATTGAAAATTTTATAACATCCCTATGATTTTTTGCCGTCAGATACGGGATAGCGCCAGGCGTGCCACAAACAAACAAACAAACACACAAACACACAAATACCAAACGAGAGAGCTTGGAAGCTCAGGGCCCTACGCTATGCTTTTATGCTTTTTTGCCTAGCTCATCGTACATGTTTTAAGAACTGATGGAAATGTCTTTTTCCGTCACTTCACTGTATTGCAAAAACGTTTCCACATCTCACGTCAAATTTGAAATCGATCGGTATTTTTGCTCTCACATGCATCCATTGCTCAATCATGCATCATTTGCCCATAATTATGACAAACTTTGGCCTGCGATTTACTTTGGCCGGTTGATACCAAGCGGCGAAATCAGCGAAATTAAATCGCCACCGAAAATGAGTTGATTTTAATACAGTAATCGGATTTTCTGGCCTTTTTGTAGTAATACATGTACATTGACCTGTTGAGCCAACGACGACGCCGAATGCATGGTTGCCTGTGGAGCACATTACATAACTTTACAGTCTCCTAAAATACGTATCCTGTCCGACGGCAAAAGAGGCTGCAGATTTAGTTTTTCTGCGCGTCGACGGGATGATTGCGACGCGAAAGTTCAGCTCGCGTTATTTGGCTCGCACGTCGAAAAATCAACGCAAGTGACCTGCTGCTCACGTGGAAATTTGGACATTACATAACTTTACAGTCTCCTTAAATACGTATCCTGTCCGACGCCAAAGGAGGCTGCAGATTTAGTTTTTTTAGACTCTGCCGATCACGGGCGTTCTGGAGTCGACGGGATCTCTCTTCCGACGTTTCCTGTGACCGGCGCTGAATCGCTCGTTCACGCTTATTTTGGAAACGACGGGATCTCTCTTCCAAAGTATGTTTATGCTGACGCATCCTATCACCTATTCAGCGTCTATTCTAATTTAATTTCCTCCTCGTCTCCCTATTTCTTTCCAAATCTCCCTCTATATCAGGGAGTCGTATACAGAATACGACGAATATTGGTACGGTACGGGACAGATACAGGAGCCCGCAAATATTGTGGACAGCTGTTATGTACAATCCTGTAGAGCCTTCGTAGTCACAGATACGGGACAGATACGGGACAGATACGGGAGAGCTCCAGCCGTGACACAAACAAACAAACAAACAAACAAACAAACAAACAAACAAACAAACACCAAATTAAAGCTGTGTGGACCCTGGCTAGCGCCAGACGTTACTGAAGTAACGTCTTCTGCATAGCTACGGGAATTAAAGCTGTGTGGACCCTGGCTAGCGCCAGACGTTACTGAAGTAACGTCTTCTGCATAGCTACGGGAACGAGAGAGCTTGGAAGCTCAGGGCCCTACGCTATGCTTTTTTGCCTTGATGACCTAGACAAAAAAAAGCATAGGGATGTTATAAATTCTTTAAAAAATTCCTTTTTTTTTAAGACATAACCTGGGATTCGAACCCGCACTATCGCGCGCCCTGCATGCATCCCCGATACACTTCGCATACATACTAATTCTTCCAAGTTGTTTCACATTGTGATCTTGCATTTGAAAGCCCTATTTGAATATGCATTGTGGCCAGCCGTCTTTGATGGCACGGTACGGTAGGGGATAGGGACGGGACAGGTACGATCGAGGGTAATATGACACCGTCTCCCGTACCGTACCGTACCATCAAACACAGCTGGCCACATACAGCTGCCCGCAATATTCAAATAGGGCTTTCAAAAGCAAGATAATAACGTGAAGCAACTTGGAAGAATGGGTATGAATCCGAAGTGTATGGGGGAATGCATGTAGGGCGATAGTGCGGGTTCGAATCCCAGGATATGCCTGAAAAAAATAGGAGAATTGAAAATTTTATAACATCCCTATGATTTTTTGCCGTCAGATACGGGATAGCGCCAGGCGTGACACAAACAAACAAACAAACACACAAACACACAAATACCCAAAATAATTAAAGCTGTGTGGACCCTGGCTAGCGCCAGACGTTACTGAAGTAACGTCTTCTGCATAGCTACGGGAACGAGAGAGCTTGGAAACTCAGGGCCCTACGCTATGCTTTTTTGCCTTGATGACCTAGACAAAAAAAGCATAGGGATGTTATAAATTCTTTAAAAAATTCCTTTTTTTTAAGACATAACCTGGGATTCGAACCCGCACTATCGCGCGCCCTGCATGCATCCCCGATACACTTCGCATACATACTAATTCTTCCAAGTTGTTTCACATTGTGATCTTGCATTTGAAAGCCCTATATGAATATGCATTGTGGCCACACACACACACACACACACACACACGAAAACAGGAATATTGCATTATTACTCACCACACAAAGTCGTCTGAACGTGTACTCGTTGAGCAGCAACCGTTGCATAGATTTGCTGACGGCACACAGCTGAAATATGTCTGGAATAGACAACATTGGCAATAAGACGTTTTGCCAGACATCAAACTGAACACTTTCCAGTCCATTCGCCACTGGTTCATGGACATCCATTGCCAGGGTAGGCTGGTAGTGCTGGTTGTCCGATACTTGATCCATGGGACTAAATACATGCGACAAACAAGAACAAACAAATTGTGCACACGATGCATTGAACACAAAAATGCACACAAAACCTACAGCACAGAAACTCAGCTGATCGAAGTACTTCAACACCTCAACACGGCTTAGCCAAGAGTGAATAATCTGGGAGCATTTATACTCCTGGGGGAATTGTGTGTTGCTCCCTACGTGGGAGCTTGCGCTATTCCTGCCGATTTGAATTCTCACTTTTATTCTCTTGCACTAACATTACACTGTATTATCACTCCCTTAGTATTGACTCGCATAGATTTTTGCCATACCTAAGCAGTCAAATATTCCTGCATATTTCACTCCTTAGGGCTATATTGACCGCTTATATTTGACTCCTTTTTAGCGATTTAACACATGCTTTGGTCAGTCGTGATAAATCTAATATTGACTTCGTACTTGGTCAGCATAGGAAATAAAAGACCTCGTAAAAGACCTCGGCTTCGCGTCGGTCTTTTACTCGGATTTTATTTCCTATATTGACCTCGTACTCAGTCAATATTAGATACGTATCCGCAGCAGAAAAGGAAGAAAACGGCAGATACATACATATACATGTACACACACACAATAGAGGCGAAAGGCTGTGTTAGCTTCCAGGACCGGCCTTGTTTGTACATATACATGTACATGTAACAAACAGGAGTTTGAAAAAAGAAAACTCTGGCCCTCGCGCTTTCCCGCTGCCTCGATTTCACATTAGACCGATTCCCGAAAGGATTCGTTCATCCATGATGCAGGCCTGCTGATTGGAAATAATTTAATTCCAGTGGACTTGTCGCGTGCACTGTATGGGCAGTCTCGAGTCAGTCAAGTGAGAACTCTCAGGTCGGCCGGGAAAGAACGAGTTGTCACGAAGGAAGCGGCGCTGAAAGTCGCCAACACCGTTTTGAAGAAACAAGGAATCAATAAAATAGTACAACTTGAACTGAATACAGTTCTTCTATCGTGTCGACATACTGCTTACCTAGCAGAGCGGAAGGAAATTTTGTAACTGGCGATATCTTGTACAATGTGCATGTAGGTACACAATGTTCTAGGAGGAAGAAAAACTGACCTGACAGGCTGCTGTGCAAAGAGTCTACTGGCTGTTCGCAAGCTACTCAGCGCGACCTTACACCATAATACATGTTGTATACATGATTGCACTGTAGCCGACATGGTCATCCAGCCCATTGACGTGGGCTGGCGCCCCCCAGCGCGTACAGAACGCTGCGTGTAGTGCACAGTCATGGTGATCCTGTAGCAGATGCGACCAGACAGCAAAGGACCACTTGTCTTGTGGGCGCTGGTGGTCTGATATACAGGTGAAATCCTGATAATTCGAACCTCCAAATGCCAGCAAAAAACTTCTAATTATCCGGACATTCTAATTAACCAAACATGAACCCACAACACAATATGTATGTCAAAATGCTCCCATGGTCACGCAGAGTTGCGCTATGGACCTTAGACACAGATTTCACGGATACTGAACTGACCAGCACAGCCTGCTCATGCAAACTGAACTGACCAGTACAGTGTACAGTGAACTTCAAATTACACTTTGCTAACTTCGAATTATCAGCACAAATCCCACACATTTTCTATGTAAGCGGAATCCGTGGAACTTTGAATTAATCGGACATGTCCGGTTCGAGGTTGGAATTATCAGAACAATTTATGTGGGAATCGTATTGACAGAAATCGGTCCTGGAAAAACTTCTAATTAAGCGGTATGTTCGAATTAAGCCATATTCGGTATCAGGATTCCACCTGTACTAGTAAGAGGACTCCACAAGTTTTCCACCCGAAGATTTGCGCTTGCATCATCAGCTGCGTCTCACGAGCCTGCAATGCTGCATAGCAGCGCATGCTCCAGCAAAGAGGTTAAAATTGTTTGTCCGAGCGGGCGCGCGCTTCAGGCTTCGCCATCGCGCTATCTATCCTCACGGCCACAAAACGATGGAGAGTGGTTGTTTGTAACATTCCTGCGTGTAGAAGTGGAAATTCGAATTTAGTTGTAGTATTTTGTCCACTCATACATGTACTTATTAGGCACCGGTGGATTCTGCTCGTAAAGGTGGCAGATTCTGTTCGAAAAGCAGTGAAATTGGCAGAACCATACAAACCTTATGGCGGACAATTCCTCGAATTCCGCTCCATTTCGTTATCCACATATCAAACATGCATGAAAGTACCGAATTTCGCCAATTTTTCTGCCGGCATTATCGGCCGGTGCCTACGTGACATACTCCTTCTGGGCGACTAAAGTCTTGGCACTGAGAAGGTTAAGCCTCTTGTTCCGTGTTTTCCGTGTTTTCCATATCTCGCCCACGTCACGCGGCAGCCTTTGCAGTACTTAGTATAATTATGGCGAATGGCGTAGAGCATTCTATTGTATATTCCATGCACCCCCAAGGGCCCAGCGGCCCATCCGTCGAAGTCTGACGTCACAGCTTCTTATGTAGCTACTCGCCAACTCGCTGGTACATGTACATGTAAGTGGACCGCACGAGTACCATGAGTACGAGTGCAGTTTGTTACTTACAAAATAGTCAGGGGTCACTTGTGTACTTACAATAGTCATCGCAGCCATTTGTGATTTATCACGCACGCAGCACCTGCGCGTCAGGGTCGTGCAGCCAATCAGAATTACGGAAAATTCGAAATATTGTAATGTTTGGGCGATATGTTTAAAGGGTTCCTTGGCAGCTAGCAGTCGTTTTATCTACGGCGTCGAAAATTGCAGGGCTGCTTTGACGGCCGAGTACGCGGACTTCTATCGAAAGAAATTTTGAAATCGGTCAAGTAGAGGGGAAATCCGTGTGTAGGGTTTTTTTCTGAGCGTTGTCGCCCTGCTTTCGAGTATTCTGACAGTAAATCGATGTCGTTGAGGACAAAAATGATTCGGTAGATCTACGGAGGAGATTCAAATAACGAAAATGAGCCCTCGATCATCGAAATTGGAGAAGGGATGGCTGCCAAGGAACATTTTGAAGACTGCACTGACGGCCCGACGCGAGCCGCGCGGCTCGCGCACTGTCGGAAAGTCCTTGGACTGCCTTCAACAAGACTTAGACCTCCACTGACCAGTAAGTTTGCAGTTGTGACTTACAACTAAATGGAAGTCTATTTTAACAGGAGAACGGGGAAAGAGAACATCGCCGTGTCAAAACAAGAAACTCTGTTCACGGAAATCTGCACGTCTCGATTGTAGCTTTGTATTTTTTTATTTTTATTTTTTTTACAATGATCACAGCTCACAGGCAAAGACAAAAATTGCATAGTGGGAGCATAGTGATGGTGAGGCTTTTTGCCCTCAGCCGACCTGAGGTCTCGACGTCATGGGGACATACATGTAAAACGCACCAAAAAAAGAAGAAAAATGAAAAGAGTGACAGGTACAATTTTTTTTCCATTCTTGACCCCAGCGGGAGATGTTGTTGACTGCTAGCTGGAGGGCTTGGGTGGTGTCTTCTTGGGTGGTGGGGGTGATGTTGGCATACAGCGTAGTGTCGTCTGCGGACGAGGCTAGGTCAGCACCGGCTGGTACGGGGTCCTCGCAGTCGTTCACGTACATGAGGAAGAGAGACGGACCCAGAATACTGCCCTGGGGGACTCCAGCTTGAATTGGTAGCCTTGCGGATGTCTGGCCCCAAATGACCGCTTGAAGGTAGCGTTCACTGAGGTAGCTGCTGAGCCACTGGTGCAGTTGCCCACGCAGGCCGTATCCGTCGGACTTGTGTAGCGCACCGGGGTGTGATACGCGATCAAACGCACCGGCGATGTCAATGGCGAGTATGCGTGCTGCGCCTTTTTCCCCGGCTGTATGCAGCCACTGGTGGTGGAGGCTGGTAAGGAGGTCGGCTGCACTATGACCATGGCGAAATCCAAAATGTCTGGTGGAGAAGACGTTGTTCGACTCGAGAAAATTTGTAATTGTTCTGTTGATGATTGTCTCCATCACCTTGGACAGAATACACAAGAGCGAAACTGGACGGGAATTGGAGGGTAGAGACATTGATTTCCGTTTGAAAATAGGGACTATGTTGGCAATCTTCCATGTCTTGGGCTGTATCCCAGTTTGGAAGCATTGGGTAAACAGTATGGAAAGCGGTTGCGCCAGTTCAGCAGAGCAGGTTTTCAACACTCGTGCGGGTATCCTAACCGGCCCGGTTGCCTTTGATGGGTTGAGCTGGCGAAGGGTGCGTTCAACAGCAGCGACGCGGAAACGGACGTCCGAAAGAGCCTGCTCAGTTCGAAGTCTGACGTATGGGAATGGGGCTGACAGGTCATCTTGGCCGAGACTGCATTTGCTTGCAAAATAGCGGGCCATGCATTCTGCTTTGTCTGCGCTGGCTGTGTGCTCACGTCCATCGGGATCACGTAATGTCGGAACAGATTGACTGCGCCCATTGCCAGAGGCACGCTTGACGGTGCGCCACCAGTCACTGGGCGGCAGCTGCTTTGAGGTCATTCTCTGTCTCAGTTTCGCCATGAAAGCACTCTTGGTAGTTTTGAGACAGGCAATCGTTGATAGCCGTGCATCTTGGTAGGCTGACTGCCGATCGTCGTCAGACTGGTCGTCTCTCAGGCACCTCCATGCACGTCGTTTCCTCACTGTGGCAGCAGTACACTCAGGGGTCCACCATGGAGGATCTGATGCTCGGGTTTTCAGAATTTTAGAGGGGATGAATCTCTTCAAACCCTCCAGGATCCTCTCTGAGATGGCAGTGCATGACAGGTCTGGATCAGTCCGAGCAATAGCTGCCCAATTGGTGGTTCTGAAGAAGTGACGGAGCCTGGCCCAATCGGCATGCTGATGCCTCCATACTGTTCTTGATGTGGGAGGCTCGCGTGATGTACGGATCTGGAAGACAGCAGTATACAAGCATGGTCAGATTTACCAAGAGGTGGCAAGACAGTAGCCAATGATTCTACGGGTAGGTCGGACACCATCAGGTCCAGTGTGTTGCGGCCACGCGTTGGTTGGTCGACTAGCTGCTCAAGACCATGCATGTAACACATGTCCTCTGCATGCTCGCCGGCTCTAGTTGTTCTGCTACTGTGGAGCCACTCTTGGTTATGTACATTGAAGTCCCCAGCAACTATCACAGCAGAGTTGCGGCAGGCTGTGGAGGCGAGGCCCCTGCAGATCACGTCGAAGATGCTGGTGTCTGTGTCTGAGCACGTTCCAGGACGGTATGCAGCACATAATTATAGCCACAGGCCGGCCAGTTGACAGTTTGACGTTTAGCCATACTAGCTCCTGGCCGAAGACATCAATGGTATCCAGTTCGTTTATGACTAGCGTGGCCTTCACCCAAACTGCCACCCCGCCACCATGGTGGTTTCGGTCGTGTCTTAGAGGCTGGTAGTAGCCGGGGAGTGTCAACTCTGCTTGAGTCACAGCCTCTGACAGCTTAGACTCTGTTACTATGGCAACATCCGGGGATTCAGCATGCAGCACATGGTGGAATTCATCTAACTTACTCATTCGCCCAAAGGCATTTGTTACGAACAGTTTCAGGGTTTTGTTGGTCATTACCGGCTGAGGGGTGCAAACGCATTGCCAACTGAAACAGAGTACTTGGCTGCTTGGTCTGCAGGTGGTGAATCTCGCTGGTGGGCGCGAGCTTTCATCCCTGGAGTCCGACTCGAGTACCGGCATCGGCAGAGCTCCCATCCTCACTGTCCCTTTCATCTGCACTGCTTGCGTTGCCAGTGGTGTTTGCCTGTGGTGCGGAAGATTCTGCGGTGCTGCTGCTGTTGTCGCTGCTGCTGCTGCTGTTGTCGCTGCTGCTGCTGCTGCTGCTGCTGTTGTCGTTGTTGCTGCTGCTGCTGCTGTTTTTGCTGTTGCTGCTGCGGTTTCCGCCAGAGTTTTTTGGACAAGCGCCACGGCCGGCAGTACAAAGGCCTAGGCCAGAAGTCGGGGGCAGTCATAATAGTGCAGGTAGTTGTACAGTTTCTGTATGCAAACAATGCATTGAGAACCGGTACCACATACGTGATCCAAAAGAGCACGCGTCACGCACGCAGTCAAAAGCAAGATGGCCGCGATGTGGAGAGCCGATCGTGATC